TTGAGTTTTGGTGGCGTTGAATTCAACTAGGTTGTTGGTCACTCAGGCTGTGATTTCAGCAAGGTCTTCATTGACAACATTGACCTGCGCCTGCGCCGTGAGTTCTTAGTTTCCTGGAAAGAAATCGGAATTCTGGAAGAGAACGCAGTATGGAGGGTACTATCATCTGCAAAGCTGTGGATGGGGCAAGTTGTTCCGTAAAGACCTCTTGATTCCATATTGTTTTGAAATTTTTCGGTCGATTTCAAGGTGTTAAAATAATTAATAATGCCACGGTAGTTTTTTAACAACTAGAAACACAACGTGAGTGAAAACTGACGACACGATTTCGTAAGTAGCGACAGACCATAGCACAGTTGCCATATGTTGAGATACGATTGGGAACTCATAAATTCTCAATTATGTATTAGTAATATGCCTGATTATAGATAGAAAACCAATTGTTTCAAAATGTTCCCTCAAGGGTTGGAGATTATTGCTAATAAAACATTTGTGTAAATGAAAATTATTAGGTCAATTCTACGAAGGCGCTGAACGGACATAATACTTTTTTTTTATAATTGCCAGTTTGAACTGGCAATTAGCCATAATTGCCAGTTTGAACTGGCATTCAGTCATAATTGCCAGTTTGAACTGGCATTTGGCTATAATTGCCAGTTTGAACTGGCAATTAGCCATAATTGCCAGTTTGAACTGGCATTCAGCTATAATTGCCAGTTTGAACTGGTATCCAGCCATAATTGCCAGTTTGAACTGGCAATCAGCCATAATTGCCAGTTTGAACTGGCAATCAGCCATAATTGCCAGTTTGAACTGGCAATTAGCTATAATTGCCAGTTTGAACTGGCAATTAACCATAATTGCCAGTTTGAACTGGCATTTAGCGCTTTCGTACGAAAGGACCCCGCAAATGGAATTTCAAAGTTCAAACAATGGCAGCTTTGTCTAATAGATGCGCATTACTTGAGAGGAAATCAGATGACTACAAGACGAAGAAATCAAAAATGTCGCTGTTATCTGTCACAGCCGTAGAAAAATCATGGTGTATAACTCGCAGGGAATGCTAATTTCCCACTCGAATGATTGCAGCATTATTCGCCTACGGCTCATGCTGCAAATTTAATTTTCGGGAAAAATCATCACTACCATTCCGTTCTTGTTGAACAATATACTATAGGTCTCTAACGACACAGTGGAGTAATTGAATGCCAATAATTCATTATCACTCCACTCGCCCTTTGCGTTGGTCGAAATAATCGTTCGCGTTCGCATTAGTTTTTTGGCGTCACTAGATGGCGATAACATGACTAGATCCTTTCGTACGGAAGCGCTAAATGCCAGTTCAAACTGGCAATTATGGCTAATTGCCAGTTCAAACTGGCAATTATAGCTAAATGCCAGTTCAAACTGGCAATTATGGCTGAATGTCATTTCAAACTGGCAATTATAGCTAAATGCCAGTTCAAACTGGCAATTATAGCTTATTTGGCAGTTCAAACTGTCAATTATAAAAAAAAGTATCATGTCCGTTCAGCGCTTTCGTACAATTCACACTAGAGGACATTCGAACCGATGAACGTGACAACACAGCGCACGAATTGTGGGCAGCGTCTTGTCAATTTTCAGCATTCAGTACATTGTTGACAAGTCTTCAACATTTACATAATATTCTTGTTATGGAGTAGAAGAAATATTTGGACATGCTGGTTGCTCAAAAAAGTCAAGATTGAACTATTATATCATGACTTCATCCTACTATGTTTAATCTCTTGTTTTATTCACCGACAGGACTCTAATATCTTGATTTCAATTGGTGACTTGGCAACTTTGCTTCATGAGTGGAAATGGTGAATATCTGATCAATAACGAAACAGAATGAAAACTGACGTCACCTTTTTTTGACGTATCGCCATATGGCGGTCGTTGAATGAGCTATGAAATTCAACAATTTTGAACGATGCATAGACTCATTATTCACATAAAAAAGCATGAAATGTGTTATAAGAATTAATTTAGATCAAAAACGACACAGTGGAGTATTTATTTCCAAATTTTTTATTAAAACAATAACGCTCAATTCCTGGAACAAATGAATCGCTAAATACTGATTGAAAAACAAATTATGTATCAAATATCATCGATATTATGGAGATGATTAGAAATGTTTTCGTCTATCCATCCACATTAATGTGAGGCACGAAGAATTGATTCCTCAGATAATTGACTAGATGGTCATAGAAACAAGTATAGAATTATCAAAGCAGTCTTACAAGTACAACTTCCTGTAGTCGCGTCACCTCTCTTCTTCCGAATAATTTGATTTAATCCCTAAATTAGGCACGCAATCCAATGAGAGGCAATTTCTGTAAATCATTTCCCTATCTTGATTGGCAATAAAATCCTACTTGAATCAGATTATGATATACCAGGGGAATACGATGAGAATGTTGGAATTCACTACGTTTCTCACATAGCTATGAACTAGTATGAAGTCTTTAATTAGTTATGGTATAGCTATATACACTCAGATGCAAAAAAAACGCAACAAGGTAAAATTCGGTCAAATTCAAAGTCTCATGACTTTTCTATCATATATTCGATTTTCATGATTCCATCAGAAAACTGTAGATGAAATGACGAATTTCAACTTGTACATCCAGTTTGTTGATAAATGCTGGCAAATTAGTAATTATACAGGGATAATTGAAAGGTTGTTGTACAACCCTAATTTCAAAACACCCTGTGGAATAATTTCGTGACCAAATTCATTCAAACTACCATTTCTTGTTAGGAACCATTTTTTTCCTACATTTCGACTTCCGATTTATGTCTTCATGAGCACTGGTTCATTTTGAAGAGCGAAATGAACTTGAACTTGAAAAAAAAATTATTCATGCAAACTTCGATTCCACTTCAAAATTATATTTCAACTGTAACAATCATCCTAATAAACCTACAAGAAATTAGCTCAATATTTTGTTTCAGCTCCTCTAGCTCTCATAACTGCCTGCATACGTCGCTCCATACTGTCAATCAGGTTATGAATAGCACCTGAGGAATATTGTGCCCTACTAACGTTCAATCACTAATTATCACTGATTATCGACAAAAATATGATTTTCTTCAGAAAATGGTAATCTCCGCTTCAAAATTCTGCTATGTTTGATGCAAACATAACATCAAAATTCTGTTATGTTTGAGTCAAGCATTCAGAAACGGAATTAATTTGAATTTATTTTTTCAGTACTGAAAGGATCAGTTTATCATTTTCTGAATAAAATCATATTTCTGTCCATAATCAGTGATAATAAGTAATTGAGAGTAAGTAGCATGAAAAATCTGCTGGTATGAAGTAGTTTCGTGGAATTAACAATTCTTCAAATATTACAGAAATTTCTCAAAATTAAAAAAAAAACAAAATCTGGATGTTGCAATAGAAAGATCAAATACGAGAAGCATGTGTAAAATTGAAAAAGAAACAACTTTTTCGATATTCGAACAAAATAAGCCTACTTTCAGCGATTGATGTGAAAAAATGTCACTTTTGACATGTAGCGAGAGTCACGTGACCCTGATTGAGTAGGCCATTTTTCATCTATTTTGAAGCAAAACTTAACGTCCAACTCGAATTCCAAAATGAGTCATTAATAAAAGTTTTTCCCATATGATGCCAACTTTATGAATGACACTGTAAATCGATGTTTTCTGTATCGAAATGGGAATTGAAATGTATTATGCTATATCCTCTGAAAGAGAATGCAAATTCTGAACTTCAGGCGATTTTATTCCAAATTTTTATTGTATTCAATAAATATAATTCGATGTCCGTCGTGGCATATAGCCAGGAAAGTAGTTGTTTCCTGTTGAGTATGCCAAGAAAGAATTCATAATTTTATCATATAAAGAATGCAAATTCTCAATGTATTACTTCATAGGTTCTACAGAGAGTTCCTATCAATTTCTTTTCATGTTCATATAATATAATATATGAGAATCTCTCGCTTCAATAATTCGAAACCCAATTAAATGGTTCAAACTTGAACGATGGAAATTCGTTTTCACATACCTCCAATCACAGAATCGTGATTTGGTTTCCTCAATTCAGAATTACTTTTCACGACCGGTAATATGGCGGATATCAATTCATCATACCGTATCAAAATTTCGAGTTTCGAATGACCCTATATATCAATAATTATAAAGAACTTCGGAGAATGCGGAATGATTCAAATATCCGTCACCTAATCATAAAGATAAAGTGAGGATTGAAAGAAATATTATTCGCTTGCTTGACATATACGAAGGCGTAGAACGGATAATATACAATTTCAGTTAATCTCGAGTTCAAACTCGAAATAAACCCTGATTTGGAGTTTCAACTTTGAGCTAGCCCCAATTTAGAGTTCGAACTCGAAATATAAACAGGGTGTCTATATAAATTTTGTATACCAGCGATAGCTCCGTCAAATATCAGAGAGAGAAGATGAAGAATCGATATCGCAACAACATGGACGCACTGATTCTTCATACATGTGAAATTCAAATATAGGTCATATAAATAATTTGAAAATATACATGGATTCACTTGAGTATCACATTTTGATATCGAGGAGTTCTTGAATCTTGGATGCAGAAAATGACGTTTCGGCAATTTTGATTCCATCCCATCAAGAATTCATGTACCCATTAACAATAAATGAGAAAATTCTGATGGATACTGGAGAAAGATGATTCCTGAAATTCAACCAAGCATCACAATGACTCCTTCAAAATTATGTAGGTATCTACGCTCCTGAAATTCCATTTTTGATTTTCTTTCCGATGGTATCAATAAGAGTTTCGTATTTCCAACGGTACACCCCGAAATTGACCTGCTGATTTGATGATCTTTTTCTTTTGGGAATCAAAATTTCGAGTTAATATTTGAATCTACATTGATGCTAACTTCTTTCTTTCTACGTCTTCGTAGACATGAATATAGTTCCTGATTTTTTTTGCAGGATCAAGTTGTGATATAGTAATAAGTAGCGATACGAATAAAAATGGAACCCTCACGAGTCCATCATATCCAACGTCTTATCCTCCGAAAACGACGTGTAGATATGAATTCCAAGGAAGAGGAAAAGAGAGAGTCCAAATTGTTTTCCAGGAATTCAACCTGTATCAAGCTGTTGCCACCATAAGAGAGTGAGTAATTATTTACAATAGTAATATTTTATTCCTCTAGTCGTGGTCACTTCTTGCTATGATGATTCTTTATCGCCAAATGATTTCATTCTGATCGTTATTTGCGCCAGACGACATCATGCGTCAGAAAAATTAGATGGATGGATTCCATAAATATTTTCCCAGGAAAAGGGGTGCAATCTTGGATGTCCAAATGACATATATGAGGGATATCAGAGAGTCTATGTAGAATCACTCTGTACATACATGTGAAGTCATTGGGACGTCCTACTGAAATGCATAATAGGACTATTTCACAAAAAATTCATGAAATATCAATAAGAGTTCATTTCTTGTAGATGATTTTAGATATGGGTCATTCGAACATAATTTTCAACAAGAAGAGACTTCCGAGGAACTTCTGTGTATGACGGGCATATTTTTCAGGAATATCTAATGAATATTTGTTCATTATCCTCGGCTTGAAACGAAGTGAAAAGTCACAGTCATTTCTTCAAGTGTCTATTGGAATGAGCAACAGATATTGTAGATTGAGGGAGAAATACAACTATTTTTTTGGCTTATGACACTCAGAACACATATTTCCGAAATCTATACAGTCTAATCATAATATACTTTGTATGTGTTTGTATGTGTTCTTTTACTGAATGCCGGATGGCCTTGTAACAGTTCTTCTGATGTTTTCAAGAAACAAAAAAATATTTTGTATCGTCACGACAGCTCATTTGTTTCGAAGCAGGTCGTGAGTTAGTGTGTTTTATATATCAAAACGAGGGTGAATTTCCATTTATATTGACACTTTGGATTCACAGAGTCACTAGCAGACTCAATAATTTTATGTAATGTAATTCCGATATTAGACTGAAATGAGTTGTTCACATTTTCTTGAACGTGTGATGACGTGAGATAGTGAAAAATGATTATTGAAATGTCCCCAGACAGGGAAAAATATGATCAGTTGAATGTCTTCAGACAGGGAAAAGAATATAAATGGACTTCTGACCTCAACTGCAAGTTCTAGATTTTGTACCATGAGATTCAACCTGCTATCAACAAGATCTCACTACTTGGATGAAACGAAGACACTTCTTCCTCTGTCCAGTCGGCGTTAATGGTTGAAAGTGCTGGGAAAATTGGATCCTCATACAGTAGACAGGATCCACGATCACCTGGAGACCTAGGCACTTGATTCATCCTAGGGCAACTGAATGCTGCGCTGAAATACTGGCTAACAGGTCCACAGGCTGCCACTAGATAATGCTCCTCCCGCAATCCAAGCTGGACCAGGATGTCTCACTCTCCGACTGGATACTGGGAGTTCAAGCTCCAAAGCAATGTAAATTCTTGGGGATAATGGATTATCTACCACAAACAAGGAGTCTGAACTCCCTTGGACTTTCTGTTAGGAGTCAGAATCGCTGGCAAACTGAACCAGTAGAGCTAGTAAGGATTTGCACTGTTAGCAGCAAGGATTCTACCAGGTATTTCAGGATTTCGGGTGCAATAGATGCCACACACTAGGAATCACCAGGGTCCTGTCTCCTCTTTCAAGTGTATTGATCACTCAGGTTTCAAAACAATCGACGGTGAAAAGTATGGTTTCTACTGATCCTTCAAGTTATCCGTTTTGAGAGTGCAGAAACATGTGATGTAGTCAAACGATAATGGACCTTACTATCATAAAGCCATGTAAATTGAAAATGAGAATAAAAATATTATTCAAGATGGAATTACATCAGGTACTCCAAGAGCTAGAAAAAAAATCAAGTTACACAGTGCATCTCCACAGATCTTCTCCCACTATGGAACACGAAAAGGAAAATATTTATGTTATAGCCTTCAGATCATACCCAGGTTGATTCTTGACATATACAGACCAATTTCGAGCATTTGGCTCTTGCCAGTGTAAGGCAATCACCAGACAGCAGTCCAAAGACCATTATCAGAGCAATACCCCACCGAACTGAAATTCAAATCGGTATCCATTGGTTCAGAGACTCTAGTCCATGACAACATGGGAACCAGAACTTCAACAGCAGAGTGAAAGGAACACTCAGAACTGGAATTGATATCTCAGGGAGAGATTGAATTAGCTAATGGTGACTAACCTACTATTCTTTGGTGTTATTTCAACTATAAAAAGGACAAAATGATGAGAGTGATATAGAATGTTGATAACGAAGTTGAAACCTAGAATCATTTCCACAAGTGATTAAAAAACATCTGTTTCTCTGGTCGATGCCATCCAGAATATTGAATTATATATCTCCCCTGAATCTATGAAATGATTCGAATAAACGGATACTGATTGCGAGTGTTCCTTTCCGAAATAACGAATCGTCATTAGATTCCACAGTGATGAGGCTCTCAAGCTCAAAACTGGTCGGTCAATAGGTGTCGAGCGTCAAATAGACTCAAATCTGAGGACGATTGAGCAGTTGGAAAAAGAATATATAATATTCATTTATACGTTTAGATTTCGAGAGAAATGTTAGGCTTGGTATTAGCCAGGAAAGTAGTTGGTTCCTTCCTTCATATTCTATTGTTCTTGTTTTTAGCAGTTCATTGAACACTCTGAATAATAATGATAATATAATAATATCGATAGTATCCTCATTTTCCAACAGGACTTACAAGATGATAATTACAGAATATGATGCGAAACAAAGTTGGTTTGATGAGTAAAGAATATAATAGATGAGAATATAATGAATATGCTTAGACTGATCACATAAACAGTCTTTGGCATTAGGTTTACATCCTATGTTTCTGGAGGTAATAGAATTGCGGGTGGGATAAGATAGAACGTCGAAGCTCAGCTGTTTCAATATATCACTACAGTCAATTTAATTGTGTAGAGCTTTGTATAATGTGAATTGAGGAAGGAGTTCGGTCAATAGTCATTTGAATATTGTTGTTGAATGGAGTTTAATTATCATTATTATTATATCATTGTACACTTTGGGGATGTTTTTCTACTTCGAGAATTTTTGCTATCTTGTAGTTGTTCAAACTAGATTCTGGAAATGTCCCTCACTGTTTTGGTCTAGTCAAAGCACCTGCTACGACATCATATTTCTTTTTCCTTCGACCACCTATGAAAACATCACAAAACACATTGATTTGTCATTGAGAAAGTGACTCGTTTCACTATGACAACATATGACAGTTAGAAAGTTCGAAAGTAAATTTCACATGGGTGGAAATATTCGAAAATCGCACAGTAACAGGGTCTATAGATTAGGATGTACCAATGAATCATTATTATGCTGAATTATGGTGAGTTAAGTTATGGTCAAGGTAATGAGAAGTTGGTGTAGATTCAATATGAGTTATTGTCGTTAATGTTGACGTAATGTTAAGTTGATGAAGATTTGAAATCAAGTAAATTTCAATTGAAAGTTGAATTAATGTCAATGTATTGGCAATTTAATCAATGTGAAGTTAATGTCAATTTGATATTGAGTTGATGTTAACCCATTAGTGCATAATGTGTCTTATGATGGACGCTCCTTGTCTAATTTTTTGTGACGTCAATCATGCAGGAATTCAATGTTTCATGCGCCAGAACTATAAGTGTAGTTCAACAACAAACAGCTATCGCTTCTATTTCATGAATTTGTATCTCGACAATATTCTGCACATGATCAAATGGATAACAATTTGTATTGCACCCGACAAGGATGGTAAGTATTTATTATGACGGAGTATAATGAATTTCAGAATTTCCTTTCCCTCAAGATCTCATTATATGCATGTGTTTATGAACCTATAAGGTAATTCGAATAATTATTTTTTTTGTAAGACACTCAAAATATTGCTTTTGTGTTGTGTCCATTATAATGGACTCGACTATGCATATCGGTCATCAAGATTTTTTTGTAGATCATTCTTGCAACACCTTGCGATCAACCAACAGATAATCATATATTATTATTATATTGCCTCCAGAAGAAAAGTTGGCAGAAATGCAGTTATTCTAATTTAGAAACTGCGAATCCATAATAAATCATATTTCTAAAGGAATTTTCAAACAGCCGTGTGACTTTCGTTATTCTGATCCTGATTTTGATTTAATTGAAAATAATATACATCTTTGCATTATGAAAAGGAATATTATAACATCAAATGATTGTACGTTATACTGCAGCACGTCAACTATAGACACGACTCCATCCACTCGTTCGACTCCTCTTTTTCTTCAACGGGTTCACATTTCCTTCCACTGGATCGTGTGAGGAGCACCAAAAAAAGGTCTGAAAGTATCATCCTAAATAATTTCTTGATATGATGCATTTCTATATACCCATCAGCTGAATTCCATTCAGTAGAGTATACAAAATTGCAATTTCATATATGTAAAATATCTGAGAGATGCTTCAAAATGTATCAAGTCATCATGATGTATAATTTTCATTATGATTATCATTATTATTATAATTGATAATATTGTGATTGATGTTATTGAGTTTTTCATGTTCTGGATATGTACTTGAATAAAAATGAATACTGAAATTTCCTTCTGATCACTTATCAATGAACCAATTTGCATAGAGTCCATTAAAATGGACGTGTCATATAAAAAAAATCTGTTGTAAAAAAAATTATTCGTCGTGAGTTATCATTCTTTGGGTATATTTGAATGAGTAAACATCTTCAGAATATAGAGATTTGAAAAAAAGTAATTTCATGCACTAATGGGTTAATTTGATTTTGAGGAAATGACAAGTTGATTTTGAGTTAATGTTGATTTAATGTTGAGTTAATGTTGAATAATTATTGAGTTAATGTTGAGTTGATGTTAAGTCAATGTCAGGTTGATTATGAGTTATTGTTGGGTTGATGTCGAGTTGATGTTGATTTGATTTCAAGTAAATGTCAAGAAACTGTTAAATTTATGTCAAGTTGATGTTAAGTGGATGTTAAGTTGATGTTGATTTAATGTTAAGTTCTTATTGAGTTAATGTTGAGTTTACGTTGAACTTATGATGTCATTCAAATATTGAAGTAAAATTAAATAATAATGATAATGATATCACCTTCATGTGATCGAATATGATTAAAAACATGATCCCTACTCTGGTCTTATAATCACTCATGACATAATAATATATATATATTTGTGGTCGTAGGAAAGATAGTGTACAAAACTCGTTGGAAAGTGCATTTCCTGCGCTCGTTTCGTTTCCGCACTCGCCGCTCTGCGGCTCGTGCTAAACGTCCACTCGCGCGAAATATGTCAATTTCCACACTAATCATGTAATATACTATTTCAGCTGTGACAACATGGACTCTCTGAACGTTTTCGTGCACATCGACGGCAGAATGGAAAAAATCGACAGCTTCTGCGGCAGTGCACTTCCGAAGCCGGTCATGTCTAATGGACCTAGAATCAAGCTCGAGTTTGTCAGCCTCGTATCTCCGAGGTTCTCGAGAGGTTTCAGGGCGACCTACGCCTTCACGGAAAGTAAGTACATTTCTAATTCGGAATTCGAATCAGCTTCGGCATCAGTGGAGCATGGGTAGCTGGCCAAATAAATAAGACATTAGATCTCGGCATGAAATCCTTCAATATGCACTTGGTATGTCTCAATGGTTGTTACACTTTTGTGGTGGATGAATATCTCTTGATCAACGCGAACAAGGAATGGTCAATTTATATTCAAAGGACAATTGAGGTGAAAGGCTAACAAATTAATAGTAGATTTATCTGAAATATCCCTTTTCAGTTTGAATGGCAGATAAACGATACTCTTCTTTTTTCAGTTGCAAATATAACTTTCGATAACAAGAACAAGCTTCGATATGAGGAAGTATTCCACAATAATAACAAATTCACAACCAATATATAATGAGAATCAATTGAATATAAAATGTGAACTAATTCATCTCATATTGGTGAACCAAACCCAATCAAAATGAGTATTATAAATGGTGAGTCATGGGGACTGTACATAACCCTATCACGAATAGAGCGGCTCTTGAGGAAAATACCTTATGAGACCAGAGAGTGTCTTCTCCTATATTCTTCACTGAAATATAGGGAATGGATTATGGGATTCCATAACTTTCTTACAGCTTCTTCGAATTGTCTGATTTGTTCATGAAATATTCTGCTTCAACTCTTTAATCGACTCACTTATTCAGAATCGGAAATACCTAGGACCGTTTTTGAAAAATGTTGCTAGTTCGATTTATTTGAAAAAGTCGATCCTGTACATGGTGTTTGTAAACTGGGATAGGGAATATTCGAGAGAAGTCACTAACAAAATTCAAGAAAAACAAACAAAAAGAACCTCACACTTCCACACAGATTCTCGAAAAGCGATACATTTCAAGAATACGTTGAATATTGCCAACAAATTCATCTATTTGAGAATGAATACTTCACAACGCATACATTTCACGAATGAAAGTAAGACTTAAATATTCAATGCTCAAGCATGTTTCGGAAAATCCATAGGAACGGTAAAGGAAATATGAAGAATCCAAAAAAAATATCATTGATATTATGATATCTGTTTTACTAGAAGTGAAGTCATCTTTGTTAGTTTCAATAATCTAAATCGTTTTTGTTATTCTGGATTCTCTAGGAGAAGTGGCAAATGCAGCTCATCGAACATACAGCATTTTTATGTGAATTGAAATTTCTAGCGATCAAATCATGAATATCGGAGTGAGAAAGGATTTTTTACCATTGAAACTACCACCAAAGGCTGTTTGTGAAAATCTTTTTTTTTTCGAATGATACTCAATACGCAATAACTGCATGTGATTTAAATTTTTTTAAGAAGGCTGTGTGAAAAATCTGTCGACAAATGATTAAAATGTTCCTCAACCACAAAAATGCACGATTTGGTTCGTGTTCGAAAAATGATAAAGAATCAGTTGATGCAGATTCAAGTGGTTCGAGGCGAAGTGATTGAAATGAATCTTGATTATCATACCCATTACGAGCCATATATATTGCAGATGATGATTCTGACAGTCAACAACTTGAATTCATTCGTGAGCAGATTATTCTGCACATCCTTCAAGAAACATTAATAATTTCAGGCAGAACTATGCAGAAGTAATAGTTATTTATGTATCAAGATCGTAAAATATTATTTTGTAGATCGGATAAAGTGTAATTGAGGTCTATAGAAGCAAGTAACGCCCGAAATACACATACAACATCTTATTCACGACTGGTATATTCGATTTTCTATTGTGAAAAGGCACCTCTCCACCTCTCAAACACAATTTGCGATAGAAAATAAAACTTTGCCCCATCTGACGGTAACAACTGGAACACTAATGAGCAGTTTGTTTTGATGCTATAACCTCTCTGTTGCTGTTCGGTGCTATGACCAATATGCACCAACAACAAAACAAAAAAATATAAACAAAAAAAAACGAAGTGAACAGGCCGCTTCGACAGCTTCCAAGAATTGAGATAGATGGCGTACGCTTATTTTTTATCGCGGATAGAAATACATCGTGCGTGGTTGCAGTGACGAATATCATCGTTGGAATCAACGTTACCATGGTAACTCAGTGAATTTTTCGAAATAGGCGTAGACTATCAGTCGCTCTCAATTCATGTCATCACAATGAACTTATTTCGGGTTAGATCAAATCATTTTGCATCTCAGAAATATCAAGAGAACTGAAGGAGAATTCAGTTGATTTGTCCCAAAATGTCACTACGTTCAACGAATTCGCCTATCAGGAAATCAAAAAGGAAAATCCAATAGCTTGTCAGTGACAATCTGTTTGGAAAAATGATTGTAGAGAAAAAATATAGATATATTGAAAAAATATCGAATTCTCACTGACAACAAATGCAAATGAACTTAAAACATGGCAAGTGAAGATATCGAATTGAGAAAACCGGTAATTGCACTAGGAAAATATGCTAGGTGAAACTATAACAAAATCACATATACATTCTCATTGTACAACACAAGTTTTTGAATGCATTCGAGTAGAAACAGTTCTGATTGTAACAAAGTATTGGAAGAAGAGGTAGATGCCCTATCATTTGAAAAATCAAACTCACCTGTAAAAAGCTGCAAACATGAATATATTAAGCACATTCGTTCAAATACCTATATCAAGATTTTCACTATTTCTCAACCATAATTCTTGAATCGAAATTCATTTTATATTTATAGGTACAGCCTGAAGACCGTTCCATTTGGTGAATTATATTGAACTTTCAGATAAATGTATGCTCACTGCGTCACAAAGATTATGCTGGAGTTGAAGAATCAAAAACTCTTTGGATATAATATGTAAATATTGTATGTAATGTTGAATCAGGAATTCCATCTGGTAATGATACGCCAATGTAACCTATGAAACAACAAATGCCCAGAATTGAATAAGGATGGAACTATATAACTATTTCACAAACTTCAGAATGAGAAGAGACGAGTAACTGTCCGTACCTGGTTCAGATGACAAATACGTCAATTTGCATCAAGGGACCCTAATATATTACCAAGCTTGCTCACTTTCCTCATCGATGAGAAAATGGTCCATTCCGTCCTACGAAAATGCATCTCTAGCATCTAGATGATTTTGGTTACATTGGATGGAGAAGTCAGTAGAGCTCTGACTATTTCCCTGGCCTTCCTCCGTAGAGATATATCTAGGAGAATGAGATTTGTATCATTCGACAATCCGTAGAGTTCCGTTGTTTTGTTAAACTCGCTGATGAAAGATATAGTCCATTCTGTGAGTTCGCTGGAAAAATAGCTTGAATATCTAGGTTTTTGATGAAGGAGTAACTTGTTGGTATAACATATGGTCCGAAAGTTTTGGGAAAAAAATTCACCTGGTTTGATTGAATGACAAAATTCATTTTCTATACATCGTGAAGTGAATTCTACCAACTTTTATTCCTGTCTCTTACCTCCGTAACCGCTGATGAATTGATATAAGTACAGCCAGTTAGCGAAGGAGTACCCGCAAAATGTTCAATTTTCACTTCTTTCTGTAGTTTTGGCAACGCAAGTTCAAAGAATATATACTGAACAATTTTATCGCTACGATATCTATAACTCCATACTATTGTTCCTCGTGCTTCCAAATCTCCATAAGCAAAGAATCAACTCATTTCGAATTAACATAGGATGAGCATTATTTCTTCAATGCTCTGTCTCGGAGCAGAAATGGTGAATTTGAAACAACTACTAATATTGGAACCTTCAATAGCTCTGGTAGGTTGAAAATGTCGATTATTTTGAAACAAAAAACAGCGTATACTATTTTTTGTTTCCGTTTACCGTTTCCGAGTGAATGATTATTCACACACCGCAAAAATGCTATTTAGATGTGCATGTCTTTTTAACCCTATCAAGTCTAGGATATTTATGAAAATTCACATAACAGGGTTTGAACACATGAGAAACAATAATTTATAAATGAGTTAGAACCTGTTTCATAAAGGTGGTAATAATATTCAACTATCAACTGAGCAAGAATACCGTGAATGACTCTAAATAATAGTTATTGATAATTTCAAAAACCGTGATTTGAAAATATCAGTTGCGAGAACACAGTGAATTGCCGTTGCCTAGCAGAAACATCACAGAAAGAATAATATAATTCAATGTATTCGCCGTGTTTTGATGAAGGAAACGTGTACTATAGTTATATGTGTATATAGTAGTTTCTTATTTTCGTATCAACTCAAGGATTTCTGGAAATCTCAGTTCCTTCAATATTTAACGTATAATATACATAATAATCCAAAAGTTCCTCTCCGGGACTCCTGCTGCAATTGACTCAATTGCAAGATCACGAAATTGTTCAGGAACGTTGACCAGAGCAATCAATTATTGGAATGATCGATTGATGAATTCACAAGCACATTATTGTAGAGGCATCAATATGAGGAAACGATTCCACAAGTTCTCACAAATCATTAAAGAAATGCATATTTCATTGTTGTAGAATCTCTGCTACACCTGGATCTAGGTAGATATCATTTCCCGGAATGAATTCGATCGTATTACAGTGCAAAGTGGTATGAATATCACCTGAACTCTTTCAAATTCGCAGAAATGCTTTTCTTAATGTAAAGAATATGCCAAACTATCCAAAATATTTTCGAGATATTGACTGGAGGATTCGAGAAAGATGATTTGTGGAAAGATGAAAAAATCCTGGGAAATACATATAGGAGCTCCTAAAATTTATCAATTTATATTATTCAATTGACCACTTGGTATGGGAATCTTCGATGAGTTTCGAACAATGAATCTTGAACAGGAAAGACGCATCTTTTGCATTTCGATTGGGAATCGGTTATTGATTTCCGAAAAAGTATCGCATCTTGAGAAACGTCAAATATTTGAGTGGTCCAATTGTTTTTTGAGCACTTTAGTATTATATGAAAAGCTGTAATACATGGGTCTCCTAATTCAACTAATTTTCATTCCACGTTCGAAACCCATTAACCTAGATACACTTTACTATTCGACCAATCTCAAAGAGCACTGGATATTCCTAGAATATTCTCTAAATTTGCTAAA